TACTTATATTTGTTAACATTATTGACATAAGTACAGAAACATTGATACTAAAATAAATGTTATACTAGGACCAGAAAATTCTTAATATAGTATTGAACTATCTATGTAAATTTTAAACTTAGCCAAAAATCTAGACATTTTCTAAATTATAATGTTTAACACATAGCTTACATAAAAAGTAGCATATAAATATTTTATTGTCATTAGCGTCAAACAAAAATAATTATTTAACTAAAAGATCTTGTTATATTATAATATATAATTTATATTATGATTAAATAGTGAATACTCTACATTGTTCAATTCATTATCACAAGGTTACATTAGGATGCAAATTAGCTATAATGCTATAAAGTACATTTTTCATTTAGTCTTTTGAATTTCAAAACCTTTTATTTGTTAAAAATGTTTGTTACAGGGAAATTTATTGAACAATTTGCATCCCTGTAAACAATACTTATTATTAAATAATATTGCATTAAACAATTTTTAATATTAGAATATTATTAACAAAGGTTTAACAAATAAATAGTTACAATAAAAATAATAGTGATAGTTAATATACCAACATACAATAATTGTGTAAATATCTATTTATAAATTAAATAAAAAATATTTCTAGTCTACAGAGATAAACAATAAAAACAATTTGTTTGTTATGGTTCTTATTACTTTATTATATTTTTACTTGGCAACATTTAATAGAGCATCGTTAATTGCTTCAGCTACATAACTTATATTATTTGTATTCAGTCCACAAATGTTAATACGCCCTGACCCCAACATGTAAATATGATATTTGTGTCGTAAATATTCTACATGACTTGCTGCAATATTTAAAAAAGTTAATGTATATAAATATTTTAATTGACATTTTATTCAAATTTTACCTGATAATCCTGTATAGGAAAACATCCCAGTTTGATCAGTTATATGATTCCATGTCCCGACTGTACCAAGCTTTTCCAAATTTTCTCGTAAAGCTTTTCTCATAGCTTTTATCCTATCTGTCATTAGCTTCAAGGTATACTTCCTAAATATCAAATTTATAGTAAATACATACATACAATAAATTATAACTTTTCACAACAAATAAAAAAATATATTATTAAAAACTCACCATTCATTTTTGAATACATCATTATTTAATATTGTACTGACAGTACGTGCACCATGGTTTGGTGGATTTGAATACATCCCTCTAACAATCATTGTCACCTGAGATTTTACAGCTTTGACATTTTCACCAGAATTCAATACAAAAGTTAGGTTTCCTGCACGTTCATCTTTAAAATGCATTAACCAAATAAAATATAGCTTACATTTTACCTTCAAAAATTAAAAATAGTGTATTAATAAATCAACTCACTGTAAAGTCCATAGTTTTTAGCAAATGATTGTGAACATAAAAACTCAAACCCCTGACTAAGGAAGTAACGCACAGACCATGCATCTTTTTCTAAATCTCCAGATGCAAATCCTTGGTAGGCATTATCGAAGAATGGTATTAATTTATGTTCCTAAAATATATATTGATAAATTACATTAGAGTATAAAATATTATGGATGTTTTTTTTACACAAATATATCGGATTTTCTATTTAAAATAATATCAATACTAACTTTTATAATTTCTGCGATTTTTTTCCATTGATCTTCAGTTGGATCTAAACCAGTAGGATTATGAGCACATCCATGTAATATAATAACTGCATTTTCTGGTGCATTTGATAAATCTTCACAAAATCCATCAAAATCAAGAGATCTTGATTCTTCATTCCAATAGCGATAAGTTTTGGCATCTTTAAATCCACTTGTCATGAAAATCAAGTGATGATTTTCTAAACAAATAAGTATATTAAATCAATTAAACTATTTCAAGAGTTTAAATATATAACAGACATTTTTATATAAATATCATATTAATATTTTTAAATAAACATTATCTCTATATTCACTATTCAGATAAAATTTTTGTATATTAAATAAATTGTAAATTATAAATTTTCTCTGTATATATCTAAATCATTGTTAGGAGGGTAGTCACTTGTGTCAGAGGAGTTATTATTCTTATAATGTATACTAGAAAATAATTTTATAACAATTTAGTCTATAAAATTTTAATTTAAAAATATTATCATAGCTTATGCTTAAAAGTTCAAATACAATTAAAATAGAATATTTGTATGCTACAGTTATACAAACAAATCAAATATCAATATCACTAAACATAATATATAGGTTTTTATTTAATAATTTCACCACTACAAATTCTACAAAAAATCCCACTAGTGCCATAGTAATTCTTTATATATAATATTATACTTGTATACTTAGTATACCATGGAATAACCTTAATCACAATTCACACTAATATTTACACATTTTTTCGTTCAAAAATATAGAATTAATTATTAAATAAAAGATAACTGGCACAACTATATTATCATAAAATAAATTAACTAAAAAATGATATCTTAGTGACATAATAAATAATATATTCAACAAAATTAAAACAATTTTATTTGCATATAATTACCCCAAGTTGGTATTGAATAATAGAATGTCGTACATTTCAAATGTTTGACTAAAAATTCTGCACCTACTCTAAGTGCTCCAGAACCACTGATAGATTGAACACCGAATATCTAAAATAATAATATAAACAAATAACAATTACAATATTATTTATTAGATATAATTCAATTAAAGGTATTTCAGAATATAAATACATAACATGAGCATTTTAATAAATTTTTTTTTAAATTAAGAACTTAACACTTTTTGAGACTATTTGCATATATTTTAATGGTAACAGGTATATTGTATACACATTTTCTCCCCATATTATAACGTGTAAACATTTTATAATTTAAAAATATTGAACATGGGACAAGGTAGTACTCAGAAGGTGGGTGTAGGGTTCAACCCTCCCTAAATTTTTTCTTAAAATATTATTGAACTTATTTATGTTGTAATATTTATTAGTCAAAACTCTAAGTCATTCCCCCCCCCAATTTTTTTACTAGAAATGGCCTTATTAGTGGGGACATAATTTTATATGTACATTATTATATTTTATACTCTCATAACATTTTAAAATGCAGTATATTCGGAAAAATTAATTCAATCTACCTATTTGTATTACTAAATTAGAACGAGTGTTTTCAAAATTAAAATTAGTGAAAACCCGTTTAAGAAGCATTGTGTCAGAAGATCAATTGGAGCACTTATGATAGTGTCATGTGAATTAGATATACAAATCGACACAGAATATGTGATAAGTTACTTTGCTTACAATAGTTTATTTCTTGCTAAGTTGCTTACTTAATTGTATAATTAATTATTTATATATTAATAACACATTGTATTATATGCATAATATAATTTTGCATAATGCATAACTAAACAAGTGTACTTTATGACATAAACATAAAATAAATAATAAAGCTAATTAGATTTACTATTGTCTTGCAATTATAATATCTTATAAGAATAAGAATAATAATTGTATAACTCATGTGTAATCATGTCGAAACTCAAATAAAATAATCTTAACAAAAAAATTGTGTGTAGAGTGTACTTTTATATCATATTAGAAATGATCATATTAGGCTGAAAAGTTCAGGTGAGTGGGTGGGTAAAAAACACTAGATTTCACTTCATAAAAAAATTCTGAGTTTGGCGCCACTGTTACTAATAGTAACATAAATTATTATACTATAAAAGCAATATAAATAATATAAAATATGCTTAATAATATAGACTGACAAATCATCTTCACTCATTTTTTGTGTGCAATGAATTGCCATTGATTTAAAATTTTACACTTTACATTACACTGACTTACTCAATGATGATTAGTGATTAGTAATTACACAGCAACCCTCGACACATGCAGTATAGCAAAGAGGTTACTACCTACTTCCCCCATTTTTGATTTTGTGGTATATTTTTTTTCCTAAATTAATAATTATACATTTTTTTTCACTTTGACAATGATAAAATATCCTATTTTTACTATTAAAATATTACAATATAATATAATTAAATGGATATAATCTGCTGGAGAAAAAGTCCTAAAACCTRAGATAAAAACATGTCCAACATTTAAACCATATCTTCTAAGTAATAACTTATGTATATTAAATTAGATAATATTAGTTGATTTTTTTCTTGCTTTCAAATGTCAAATATAAACAATATGTCTAACTTTTGTTGCTTTAAATCATTTAATGAATAAAATTTGTTTTTATCAATATTATTATAATATTTTCATTGTTTACTAAAAATATTAAGACTTGAAGATGAGATCATCATTCAATTATTTATCATAATACCTATAGCTGTTTTCTAAAATGAAATAATATAAAATAAAATCTTACGGTTCCTTCCTCTTGTCGCTGAGTGATATCGCCCAATAGTAGTTGAGATGCAGCTTTAGTAAAAGGTTCTAAGCCCAATATAGGTAAATACTCGTGATTCATTGTACCTTCAAGCACCTCACTCTCAGCTTTTTTTACAACAGGAATATAATATGGTTTGCCTTCATCTGTCCTATATGCTAAAAATTGATACAAATAAAAAATTGTCAACACAACTTAAAACAAATTAGTAGCAATAGCAGATATAAATCAAAATTAAAAATATACATACCCCCAATGGTCAAATTTACTTTCGATGGATATTCGTCTTCATTAAATTTTCTCACTAGATCGAATACTTCGATGGGCTTTGCTTCCTCAACGTCACTGAAAATACTCATAATGGGGCTGGCGGTATACTTTAATATTACGATTTATGAAAATAATATTATAGTCTGTAATGAAACAGATTAAAGAAAGTAAGTAAATTAAGCTATATTCAGCTCAAGGTTAGCAAAAAAATGAGGAATAATTAAATTACGCTCTTACACGATTAACTCACTATAATAAACAGTAGAATAATAATTATTAATTACAATTTAATAACTTGGACAATAAACGAATAACATAAGTAGTGAAATGATTTAAGATTAAGGTATCATTCGCCGACACTCGACAGTAATGTTGTCAACTCGGCCACTCAGCGAACAGCGAACAGCACTGAAACTGAATTAATAAAAACTGTTTAAATCAATTTATTATAATCTTATATCAACACAGTACCAATTATATCGTGCATACCATGTAAATGATGTAAAATGTTATCAGCGTTAGTAACTTCTGCGGGTGACAAGATGGAACAGCTGTAAATTGTGAACCGTGACTTTAGAATTAGAATTATGCCTAAAAAGTCACATGAGTCAAAGGACGTTCATAAATCAACTTTATTCTGTTTAAACCATGTTAAACTTGACATGTATAATCGACGGCCATCGGTTTTCGGCGGCCCGGAGTCAAACAACACCCTCTGGTCTAATATATTTTATAGAAATCTGAAGCATATAAATAGTTTGCATAGTATTTAGGTGTGGTGATGCCATTGAAAGAATATTGAAAATGCACCTACCACTCCTTTCCTATTGTTTAGTATAAACCCTAGAAATATAAGTATAAAAAATCAATAGTTACCTAAATATTATTTATCATTAAAAATAAAATAGTATCTATAGAAGCAGAGATGCGTTTAATGGGGGAGGGGGATCAATTGCCCCGGGGTGGCAATTTTTAGGGTCAACATAAAATAAAAAATTATAATTATAATTTTTTTAAGGGCACCATGTTTTAATATGCACCGGGGCGGCATCATAGCTTAACGAGGCAATGTAATATATAAATACCTTTTTTTTTGCGTAAATATGTCCATGATGGCAGAGGGGAATATTTTAACGTTTCAACACCCAAAACGCTATGCCACTATTTATGATTAAGCGGTGAAATATTGTTGAAAAGTTCATACAGCCTTTTTCGTGTAAGCAAGTTACAAAAGTAGGTAAAAAACTTTATTTTATTAAAGCCTTTATAAATTATTATGCAAATTATTACTTAAATTGAAGTAGTTTTAGGAATAGGGGGCAAGTCATGTAAAAATAGTTTGCATCTTTATAGTGGGGCACAAAAATAGTTTCAAATAATTAACTTTAATCATATATGTGTAGATGATGAAAAATATAATTTGTGCGTTGTGCATTACTTAGTTTACAAGACCAATTATAATTATCTAATACTAAAAAAAATTACGTATTATATAGTAATGCTGTTTACTTATGTTTAATATTAATTATGGTAGTACTCGTTGCAAATACAGTGTTTGAGATTTGGGCCTTGGGGAGGGACTAAATCCCTACAATAAGGTAGGTACAATATATTTTATTTTTATAATAATTGAAGATAAGAAGATATAACATTTTCGATTATGTATCTCCTTTAAGTAAAGTTTGTGTTGGAGATAGAAAGTTATTAAGTTATATAATATAATTATTTAAAGAAATAAATTCAATTCAATTCAATTTTAAAGATTCAAAGTAAGATTATAAATACATATAAAAACTAAATAAACAAATATTAATACAATATTTGTACATGATAAAAAAGAAAACTATAAAAATAACATTATATTCAAACATACACGAATAAAACAAAMATAGATTAAAATTATCTACATTGCTTAAAATAAAAATAAAAATTGATTTAAGGTAATTTGCACAGTACCTAACCATTAATTAATTATTCTTATTTTTTTTTATTGTTGGTTTTACAGTAACTATACTTAGTAATTTCTGTTTCATATCAGAATCTAATGAATTATTATTATTATAAATTAGTAGGCCCAAGGTAATCTTTGAATTTTGTTTTTAATTTATAAATAATGTTGATCAACATTTCACTTAAGAACATTTAGGAAAATATATTTGGGGGTCCTTAGTCCCTTAAATTATTCTCATTTTATATCCATGAAGGTAGAGGTATACGCCCTAAATCTCCGCATGCCCAGTGTTCACCGATAAAACAGTCCTATCAGTACTAATGTCTAATATAAAAGATATACCTAACTATATAAGCATAGGCGCAACTAGAGGCCAATCACTGGGGGTGCTAAAATTATGCAGAGGACACAGACTCGTGGGGGCATAGCCCCCACACCCCCCAAACACCTACCATACAACAATTTTATAATTATTATAATCATTCCAATCCACACTATAAAACCATAAGCACACTAATATTTAAGTATAAAAGCTATAGTATACCGTATACCTTATAAATACATTAGGTGTAGTATATAATTGTTTAAGTGATAAAAATAATAATAAAGTTTAAACTGAATATATACATATATGTACCTATTATACATAATRATATTATTTAATACTAATAATAATTTTCTATTCTTAGTAGAATACTTTTCTAGTATTTCTGAAGAATTAATTTTGTTAACAATTAAACAATGTCTCTTTCGATGTTTAAAATTGATAAATTTGTGAACCGCTGTTGTTCCATACTTGCTCTTAGCCAGTTTTTTAAACGACACATTGATGAGAAGCTTCTCTGTTGAAGAATTTATTACCTATCTATGATTGCAACGATATAAATATATTATATTATATAATTATTATATTCTTAATTCTACAATAATTGTATATTTTAAATAAATACCTAATATATGATATTATGATATAACTATAATCATCACCACCAATTTGTGTTTCTTCTAATGAACGTCAAATACAAAAAAAAAACCATTTTTTTCATGATTTTTAAATTTTAAATTTTTAGTGGATTTGGTGTGGGGGTGCTTCAGAACCCCCAAGCACCCCCCTAGTTGCGCCTATGTAATATAAGTACTAAAAGAGTTAATATACGTACCTACTGTAATACTGTATTATAATTTATACATATATCATGTCCCATGGCCACATAGTCATATAGATGTAGTAAAGTAAGTCCGAACACAGGCTATAGTTAATCCGACAGTTATCCGAAATGTCTTGAAAATTGTCGCATCGCTATATTGATATTTAATAGTAGGCAATTAGTAATTAGTGTTAATACTATTAATAATACACATATTATATTACAGGTATATATATATATATATCATAATGTATAATTAATATGTCGTGGTTTCTGCTTCAAAAGCTACAAAAGTATTAAGCATAGCAGAATACACTAATACAGCTATCCAATGGGCTGAAGAAAACGTTGAAAAGTGCAAAGAATTAATGTTGCTCAGGTGTTTGAGGAATGTGGGACAAGGCGTTTAATCAGTATATTATATGAACTTAAGTTTAAAAAAAAAACAACAACATTTTAAATGAATAGGTACAAGGTACAACTTATGACTGACTGTATATTATGCATGATTATAATATTTTGATACGAATTAATACAGTATGTACCTATAGCTAAAAATAAATTTAAATTTTAAAATTTAAATGCATGTAAATTGATCTTCCTTTAAGTCATAGCTAATCCGTAAAATCGGTAATTCGAATAACTTCTTTCCCCAACCTCGTTCGGATAACGAAACCGTACTGGGCGTACTGTATTAGCATTGATTATAAATACTACTAATACTAGTATTTGTTATTTATATATTATATTCAATGGCAGATTGGTAGTAGATAAGTACATGAAAAATCGTCCGAACTGAACAATCAGAAATCGCATCAGTCATCGAAACATTATTATTTATTGTGTAATATATATTACGTAGTATTTCTAATTTATTAACGTYAATGAAACGATTATTATTTAAGTCTTATCGCAACTTCATAAGTCTACGGACTACGATAATTTTTTTACATTAAATTGTTAAAACACACATTACACGCTATGACAGCAATTTATTATAACATTATAAGAGTAACTATATTTGACAAATCACAATGAAATAAATAGGTATACGAGACACGGCTACCGAGTAGGTACATAATATTATGTATACGAATATACGATATACCATAATATACATATACCTGCTTAATAAGCTTATAAGTATACCTACTCATATACTCGTATTTTATAGATTATGAGTAGGTATATAACTATTAAATATGTAACTAGTAACTAGTAGRTAACTAAAGTAATACACAGGGGCGTATTTAGACCGGGGCCGCCGGGGCCTAGGCCCCGGGGCCCCCTAGGTGTGCCGAAGTCGGGGGCCACAGGACCTTTATTATTACATAAAAAAAAAATACTGAATATTTTTTTTAAAAATTATATTTACGTATAATTACTAATACATGATACAATTTATACAATTCATACATTATATTCATTATAATAATATAGTAATATAGTACTATGTATAGACGTATAGTACTTATATATTATAAGTACCTTAAGTTGAGTCGTTCCAACTCCTGGCAGAGACTAACGCCCGTATAAGTCATCATTTCCCTTTCTTAACAATTTAATTTTTTTTTAAATCCATTTATACTCTCTGTAGTCTTTTTTAAGGCATGGAGTACATAACATTATTTTGTAATTATACTCCCAAAGTTATGTTATCAATTCATTGTTATTCATTATACCTATTTTTAAATATTTTATGTGTGTCTAAATAGTATAAATAGGTACCTACTATAAATAGTTAATATTGTGATGTGTAGGTAGTAATTATTTACATATTTTGACAAGTGTATAATAATTAATAATGTACAGTTATATATAAACTGTAGGGTTCTTATTTTTTAGTTTTTATGTCTTCTATTGAATGTTCCTAAAACTAATAAATTATACAGTTCTGTCAGTACCTAGTACCTACCTACTAAAGTACTACAAACATAGGTTTGGTACCTATATATATTATGATTATACATGTTAGTATGTTACCATAATAATAGTTGGTACATGAGCTATTTAGCCAATATATCCACGGACAAAATATCAAACCAAAATAATTCTTTCTTTCAACGATTATTATGTCTACAATATATACTTAATACTTAGTTATATCATAACAAATAGCAATCAGTGATATAGCCAGAGGGGAGGACTGAGGGGGCTGCAGCCCCCCGAAATATTGAGAAAATTAAAAAATAATTTTAATGCTCAATGAAAGTCGCTAAAAGTTTTAAATTGTATTCTTAAAATATAAAACCACTACTTATGTAAAAATTGATCAGTCCTCTCCCCCCCCCATAAAAATCCTGGTTATGCCACTGATAATGATATCACATTATAAGTTATTAATTAGGGCCGGGATTTTGATGCAAAGGCATATTTTTTCTGGAGTTATGAAACGTTGGTTTGTAAGTAAAAAATTTGTTTTGGATTATATACTGATTATTTTAAAGTAATTTTGTCAAAAATAATTAAAAATCATACAAACAGAATTCGAACGATCATTGGTGCACATACGGGGGTAATACAGCTTGTGTTG